TCGGACCATGTGACTGATAAGATAACATGTTGATTAATGTATTGGGAGGAGAAACATAGCAACACACCGAGCTAAGACAATGTCTAATTGGTCAAGACACCACTTGGGATGTGTCCAACAGCACGGTTTAAAAACTCAGGACCCTCGAGTCTGTGACCGCCTCAAAACTTCAACCAGCCCACAACTCTGCATCTTCAGCCAACGGCCAACCATTGGCTTCCCAAGACGTCACTTCGAACAACAACTGGACTTCCAGTTCAATTAAAACAAACTTGGGAAACCCCTTTCTGCAACGAAGACAACAAGGGAACCCCCTAAACAAGCAACGCAAGTACCTCCAGATTCTAGCTGAACTGGTGCATTTAATATAAATTTTAACCTCATTGAGGAACTCAATGCGAGGGTTAATTAAATGATTGATGGTTGTTCAGGTCTAAGCAATTGCACATATTGCTATAAACTTGGGATTTCACATTTTCACTCTCTTAAACTCATTCTTTTCTCACTTTCTCTCTTCCTGCAACTTGTGTGAATGATAAAGCCTTATTTATATCGAAAAGAGAAGTATCTTGTGTTTTGTGCTTACAAGTTAATGTCATAAACTGCCGATCTTGTTACTGTGCTAATAAATAGTGTTTTCACTATACTTTGGATATTAATATCCATTGCAGAGTTGATGTTATACAATGATGTTCAATGAATCGCTGGCTGACTCCGTGATCAGCCGTAAAACAGTGATTCTCTCCAAATCCCCTATAAAATCATAAATGATACCCTTTGAGCGACATTGACCCTTTCCCTTACACATTGTTTTTCTGAGAAACATGTATGTGAACTGAGATTGTTTCCTAAATATCTGCAAACATATTATGGTATTTTTAGACTTTAGTACAGTGAAAAAATTACATACAGCACCTTTGAATATACATTTGTAGAGTAATTCTAATATCTAGGTCATGGAACAGATTTGAATTGTGCTAGAATTCCTAACCAGCGATATGTGACAAGCAACGGGAAATTCTATTTTTGGAATGATTTCTATTTCTTTGATGATGCAGTTGACAACTCGAGTTCTGACTGTTTTGTACAATATTAAAATGTTTTAAGTTCAAATATCATTTTTGTGTGACTTTAATAGCAATAATGAAAGAGACGATGGATAATTTAGATCAGATCTTTAAAATAACAAAAAAAGTAAAAAAAAACAAAACAAGAATGTTCAAAATGTGAACTGTATGATCAAACAAGTGTATTCCATAACAAAGATTGTGTCACTGAGCATGTTTTGAATCACTTTATAATTGTTTATTCATTTGATTATGCACATTTTGTTGCAAGTATGAGACAGCAGCACGCTTGCGCATGTATGCATTTATCTGTTAAGCAGTCAGGTAAAAAGCAGAAGGATGTGCAGCCAGACGATCATTATCACAAAATAAACACCGACAAGATAATACAACAGATTCCAATAAACTACATCAGGGAGACTTGAAACGGTTTTATTGTACATGAGATTAAATTGTTTTATTATTTTATTAGGTTTTGTTTTATGATGTTTGAAATTACTTTATTATGTGAGAAGACGCAGTGCGCAGTGATACAAGAGACATGAAACTAACTTAATGCAGGATGTAACGATTGACTTTATTCACCAAGACTGCATTAAAGTGATCAAAGGTGACAGTAAAGACATTTAAAATGTTACATCTAATGAATTTCTAAGAAGTGCTGTTCCTTTGAACATTCTATTCATCAAGAAATCCTAAAAAAAAGTATCACGGTTTCTTTAAAAAATATGAATAAGTTTCAACACTGATAATATTTAGAAATGTTTCTTGAGCAGTAAATCAGCATATTAGATTGATTTCAGAAGGATCATGTGACACACACTCACACACACACACACACACACACTCAAATACTGCAAAACAGAGCACAGGATGGCATCTCACAGTGTGAGACGCTACCAAACACACTAAGTCACACTGACAGGACGTGTCTTTACAGCACACACACTGTAGCTCTCAAAAGGTTATGCAACATAATACGCCTCTCTCACACACAATGCATCTTATACAATATAACAGCCTCTGCGAAACATTACCCGATTACTATTTTTGTCTGATTTGCCATTTTGAATTCAGTTACTGGCTTTGGAACGTGCTTTATAACTTAATTTGTGCTTTGGTTAATGTATGGTCATACAATCACATGTACAGCAAAATAAAACATTAATAAATAAAAAGTCCACTACACCAGCTAACATATATTATCTAAGGTATCTATATTTGATTCCCGTAGCTTAGCAACAGTATTTCATAAACCAGCTGAGCAGGAAGTCTGACTAGCAGACATCAAGGAGTAACTGTGCTGCCACATATCACTTCCCATGTTCCTCTATTCAAGATTTTTGGACTCACTCACCAGAGAGAGATTGAGTGAGAGCAAAAATGTCAAGGTGGTCATATCATAATTAATTTAAATAACTTATTTTTCCCACTAAGGTTCATTGATAAAGTTAATGAAGGTTTTAGTCACAATTTATTTTTGTTCTTTTCCACCCTCTCTGAGCCTTAAATTTAAAATAACAAGTTTATCAGTTTGTCCAACACAATCTCTTTGCCCCAATTGTCTAACCAATGGACTGAGTTTGGGGCGACCCAATCACTTTGTCTAACCAATGGATTGAGTTTGGGGACGACCCAATCACTTTGTCTAACCAATTGATTGAGTTTGGGGCGACCCAATCACTTTGTCTAACCAATGGATTGAGTTTGGGGCGACCCAATCACTTTGTCCAAGCAATGGTTTAAGTTTGGGGCAACCCAATCACTTTGTCCAACTAATGGCGTGAGTTTGGAGTGACCCAATCACTTTGTCTAACCAATGGATTGAGTTTGTGGCAACCCAATCACTTTGATTAACTAATGGCTTGAGTTTGGGGTTTGGAATGACCCAATCAATATGTCCAACCAATGGGGTACGTTTGGTGCAAACTTTCAGTTTGTTCAACCAATAGGCTTGTTCGACTTCATGCAGCGCCACAAAGATTGGCTGCCACCTGACAAAAGCAATGCATTCTGGTTAGAAAATTTGTCTGACTTTGATTGATGCTGCAGCCGCCTTGCGATCACATGTGCCATTAAAGTACAGCGACAGCAAAACGAGACCACTCGCCTAGGTCAGGCGCTGCAGTTGCTCAAAATTGGCGGCGAAAGCCTTGATGACGAGTTTTCTTCAAAAAGTAGTCTTCAGGGAAATAAACTTCTAGGTTAAAATATTAACACCATTGAAGAACGTTTGATGAACCCTTCTTTTTAGAGCAAAAACATTAGCAGTACAAACCTCATGCCTTCAGTAGATTTGTTCTGGTAGTTGCAGTAGAGCTGTGGAGTTCCCAGCATGGCCTCTGTGAATACGGCCAGAAAACCCAGGCTCTCTACGAACAGAACTGAGTCCAGTAGCAGATACGTCACATAGACGGCCAGCACCGTGAACACCAGCACACACTGCAGGTAATCCACAAAATGACTCCAAGACCAGAAGTAGTTCCAATCAAAGTCTAGAATTCAGAAAGAAAGAGAGTACACATTAAAAACAAAAAAAGTACTACAGCTTATATTGGTTGAAAGGAGTCCAAAAGACTTTTAGGAGAACATTTTGAGGTCTGAAAGGCAGTATTCTCAAAATAGACTAATTTTTTTATTTAAAAATTTTATATATACAGTATCTCACAGAAGTGAGTACACCCCTCACATTTTTGTAAATATTTTATTATATCTTTTCATGTGACAACACTGAAGAAATGACACTTTGCTACAATGTAAAGTAGTGAGTTAAATTTTGATCATTTTGACTGCCAGTCTTTATCAAATTCTTTCTTTCAACAATATATTTCATAGAACACTGAAACATTGGACATATATACAGTATGCATGATTATTCAAAGGAATGTATTAGTAGGGATGAAGGGTTAAATCAATGTCAGATCATCAAGTTCAGACCACAGACCCTCTTAAGACAATGGTTTGCAGCCATGCTCTGACAGGATCAGCCAGCAGGGAAAAAAACAATGCTAAATGCAAACAAACAAAAAATAAACAAAAATAGCCAAAATAAATAAACAAACAATTCAATAATTACACCATTCAAAAGTGTGGGGTTGGTTACAATGATTTTGAAATAAGTCTCTTATGTTCACCAAAGCTGCATTTATATGATCAAAAATACAGTAAAAACAGAAATATCGTGAAATATGATTACAATTTAAAATAACTGTTTACAATATACTTTAAAATGTAATTTATTCCTATGAGTCAAAGCTGAATTTTCAGCATCATTACTCCAGTCTTCAGTGTCACATGATCCGTCAGAAATCATTCTAATATGCTGATTGCTGCTAAAGAAACATTTCTCATTTATTATCATTTTTAAAAACAGTTGTGCTGCTTCATATTTTTGTGGAAACTGAACAATTGACAAAACCACACAAGCTAAGAGACGTGCCTTACACATGGTTTTTCCTGACAGCAATGGGTTTTGTGCAATGAATTATTGGCTGCCGAGAGCATGAAACCGTCAAAATTTAATTTGTTACGATCTGCAGTTTCGGTACTGTGTTGGGTGACCACACATCCGGAGTGAAATCTGGGTCCTAAAGTAAAACCAGTTCTAAGACTGTAAGACCCCCTCGAAGAAGTCCTTTTTTCATGATCATCCAGTTCCCAGCACACAAGCCTCTCAGCAGGGATGAGTCTGACTGGATTCTGACCTAAAATAATCCACTTTCGCCAATTATTTTGGCCTCGTGTCGATGGAGGCTGAACTCTGAGAACTCATAAGCCTGTAAGTCAGCTCTCCGCCCATCCGTCGGTGGACGAGAAGAGCATATCTAATCAAAGCACGCTGGGAGCTTCAACAACGGTTACTCTCATAAAGCGGCACTGGAAATGTCGAAGCAACAAAGTACAAGCAGAGGCCAAAACCAAAGCATGAGGACCACAGTGACATCCAGAGTGTCATGAAAATGTCAGGGCATGTGGGACAAAGCTGAAAGAGAAAGAACAGAGTCCAAAGCACTGCTATGACGGGTCTAGATGGACTGGAGCGGGAAAAACACACATTCAGTGAATAAAAGTAGGGCTGGATTAGGAAAACACGATTCCAGCAATTCATAGCTTGATGCGCCTCTCTCTTCGGATGCCAGCTGTCCTCACAAAACCCAATCAAGAGGGGGCGGCACAGCTTAGATACAAGTGTGTTTGGGTAATCTGTTTGTTTGGGTAGAGCGTTTTACATCCAAAACTCTGCCTCAGTAACTGCAATCTTTGTTTGCTCCATTACTTGCGCTGTTTGCTAAAGTCCTTTTTGAACAAAATTTGAACAAATCGCTAACCGTAGCGGCGATGTATATAGCACTGCCCACAAAGAGAACGCTGCCAAAACAAGCTGCTTCCTATTGATCAACATGACAAACTCTTGTGCCAAAATTCAATAAACTAGAAGTCAATGGGAAACTTCTTTGCAACCAGAAGTCCACTGAGAAGACTAGTTTTCACGTCGCAGAATTTTGTCATGCAAAAGTAAACGTGACTGCATTCATAAACACTGCAAAAACTGACAAATGAAATATTAGTCAGAAAAAAGATGGAATAGTTTAATCAAGCCTTTAGACATAATCTTAAAAAAAAAGTAAAGACAAAAGTTTGTGTTTGTGTCTTCATATTTGACACGTCAGGCTTTTAATGGCTCACAGTAAGAGAAAAAGCAACTCAATTTTATTCAGAGTCCCAAATTGAGCAAAAACATGCAATTTCGTGCAGTTACTGATATTTACATTTAAGATAAAATTCTGATAGTTTGTATATAAAAATCAATGAGATTTTCATAACATAAAATGGATATAAATATCAGTTGTCACTCAATATCTCCCAATAATATTTCTAATTAAAATGATATTTAAAGGCTTAGTTATGATTTTATTTTATAACTTCATTCATAATTATTAGTCTTTAAATTAAATTAATTACATTTATCAAATAAATGTAATCAATTACATCAAATGTAATTTAACTTCTTTTAAATAGTTTATAAATTTAATTTAATTCATAATTATTAGTTTAGTTTTTAAATGAAATTAAGTTGAGTTTTAAATAAATAAAACAACATTTTAATAACATTTTAAATAAATAATTAAATTTAATAAATTTAATTACATTACTATACATTTTTTATAGTTAAAAAAATTATACTATACATACTAATAGTACTATACATACTATACATATTTTATAGTTTAAAAATTATAAATTAAATAAAATGTTTTACATTTTATTTTATTAGGCAAAACATATAATGCGATGCAACACAACATGATTTATCATGATTTTTATAAAAATAATGTCTGGATAATCAAGTAAACCTAAGTAGCTTCAGTCCAGTAAGTGTCATCTTGAAGCCAAAGTTAAAGTCAAAGTTCAGGATTAATAAATAGTTATTATCCAGTTATTGTAATCAATATAATAAACACATAGTATGTATATGTGGACAAGGACTAAAGTACAACCATTATTTTTATGTTTAATTTATAATCTGTAAAAGATTTCACAGAAAAAGACACATGGTCCACGACCTGAAGGGGGACGTTTTACAATCATACTAAAAGGTATCTTCTTTTACTTGCTAAAAAAGTTACAAACTATCAATCAGATGACAGAAAGCAGATTGTGCAACAGGTTAAGGAAATTATATTTTAAGACAATTAAGTCGATTTTTACATTGACAATTACAGTTCTCATAATGAAAAAAATATATATTTTTTTCATTATTCTCAGTGATGACTCTCATTATTATTAATTACCATACCACAATTATTTTCTATTACATTTAGGGTAACAGTTTATTTTAAGGTGTCCTTGTTACACGTTACATATACTTACTATTATAATAACAATAAATGATGCATAATTACATGCAAGTAACCCTAAGACAAACCCTAATCCTAACTATAACCATATAGTAAGTACATGTACTTAATTAATATTATTCAGTACTTAAATATATAATTACACTGTAACAAGGACACCTTAATATAAAGTGCAACCAAATTTAGCATAAAAGGATATACAACAAATACTAAATAAATATTTATTCGGTACCACTTTACAATGAAGTTTCCATTTGTTAACATTAGTTAACTATATTAGTTAACATAAACTAACAATTAAAATTACTTCTAAAGCATTTATTAATCATAGTGAATTTCGAAGCGCATGTGCGTCTGCCGCTTTAAATTCTCGAGCTCGTTACAGCAGGATGGATTCTGATTGGCTGTCAATGTTTGTATCGTTCATCAGCTGGAGAAAAATCGTTTTGAAAGTGATTCCAACGATATCGTTTCTCTGTGCCTTTATTTTAGATATCGATATTGTTTCTGTGCCTTTAGTTGTGGTGTGGAATCTGCTATTCTTTAATATTGAGAACGATTTTAGAACTATATCTTTATCGTTATCTTTATCTTTATAGTTATCGTCCGCTGGTGTGAACAGGCAACGAACAGTTCTATTTTTAACTAACATTAACTAAGATTAATAAATACTGTAACAAATGTATTGCTCAATGTTAGCTGAAGTTTGTTAACAAATGGAACCATACTGTAAAGAGTAAAAAAAAAAAAAGTACTTAATTGTCATGAAAATTGTGTCAAAAAGTCCCAACGGTACTAAAAAAAAAAAGTCTTCATTTTCGAACACTTGAATTCTTTCTTGACGGGTTTCATGAGATTCACCTGTAACGGTCTGAGATGAAACTGCGATTAAAGCAGCTGTTATCTGAGCAGTAAAATGTTATCACACTGGAGAAATCAGTCTGACAACATGAGAGCCGTTGATTTGAGGCTGGCAGACGCACCGTCGGAGGAGAACTAGGGCCAGTTTATGACATTTCAAACGGATTTATTGAAGTATTGATAATTAACGACAGTGGCATTTCAGATGACATTTTACAATCAGATCAATTCCTGTGCTTTTGTCTGCGGCGTGACAGAGAGGACAGGTGCGGGGGAGTCTGTGTGAGACAACATCTAGTTTGACAGAAAGATTATGAAAGAGCAGAAGACATTTTCCAACAGAAAACAGAGATCCCAAGAGCGTGACTTCTGTGATATTTTAATTGGAAGACTGGTCAGGACTTTAGTCAGTGTTTCAGATATAGTAGATGAACTAAGTTATCAGTAACTATAGTGTCAACATAACTGTCCATCCAACGCATCTTTGACTTTAAAATACCTTCTTCTGAATCAGCACTTCCTTTCAGAACTATGAGGAATTCACCAGTAGACTGAAGAGAAAAATACTGCTTTGTATGAACAGCTATGTAGTCAAATCCTGTCTTAAGTAATGGTGCAAGTTTAAGGCCAAAGCTGTGTGTTGAACAGCGGAAGACAGGGTTGGGTGGAAAGGTGCAATAGGGGTTTTTGTAAAATAAAATATAAATAAATAATGAAATGATTACATTTTAAATATAATAATTTAATTTATTAATTGAATTAAATTTGAAAACAAA